TATATATATGATATAAAATATTGTTATGTTAATATTTTATATTAATTAAACGCACGCCTCAACAATATTGCGTTATATAATAAAATATAATACTCATTACAAGGAATATATATAATCCTTTTCAAACATCAAAATTCTTTACTCTACTTCTTCTTCTATAAAAAAAAGATACTCGTTATTAATACTAGCAAAAGAATCCGCGCAAAAAATAATAGTATTTTCCGCTCCTAGAGATCATCTTGATAAGTAAAGAGGAGTGCCGATATCACCTGTATCGCATTCGTCGCGAGATACCTTTCATTTGTCGCTCGTGCTCTTTTCAAGCTTTACGTTGGAAGCAAAAATCCGATACACCCGGCACTATGACCGAACCGCAAACTACAGTTAAGCGCAAAGAGCATAAAATGAGAATCGAGAAATGTGCATGCTGAATGGATCATAAATAAAATCCTTGTCTCCGACGTGTCGACGTGTCGACATATACGGAAAAAATAGAGACTCGCGTGATAACGGAAACCTCGTATTTTTTTTTTCGAATTCAATTTACTTATATATATGTCAATTGGCATATTTCAATTTTGTCGAAAAGTACGACTAAAATATATTGACAGATTCTACATTTTTTCCCCACATACTTCCCTTCAATTTTATCTATCTATCACAGTAATAATAAAGAACTTGAAAAAGTAAGTCCAGCACATATTAAGTCGTTCCTTCTTCGTCTCTTATAACTAAGGCCGCGATCGTATATATCTAAAGACAATCGCTATTAATTATTTGTCAATCCATAAAGCACAGCGATACGGTGAAACAGAGCTGACAGACGTTGTTTCAGATTTTGATCTACGGCATGCCTGGTCAATATTCGTACGCCGCGTACGAAAACTGGAAGCAACGGTGCTAATCGTTCATCCTGCAAAAAAGGTTCCCAAAAATTCGTATAAAAACTCAGACTTAAAGCAATTAACAATTATTGATAAATTCAACAATTCTTATTTGAGGAATTAAATTATTTATTAAAACAGATTCTTACTTATAATTTTGACAGTCTAATATTAGCCCTTCGGTGCCACTTTAAATGTAACATACTCAAAGTTTTTTTAATTTTTTAATTTTTTATTTTTTTTATGTTATTTGTTATTACCGAAGATACGTACATTTACCTGGTACTATTATATTTTTTTTTTAAATTATATGTATTTTTTTAAGAAAAAAAATGAAAAAATTATTTAATAATTACAGATTTTTCTATATTGTATTTGAAAGTGTAATATAAAAAGTTTGGTTATAATTTAAATCTGCATCAAATATTATTTTAATAAGAAATATATGTATATGTTTTTAAAAAATAATTAAGATAAAATGTGAAAATTTTGGGATTCAAACTGTACAATTTTAAATTATATAAAATTTTATTATTAAATGTGTATAAATATTGATCTCTAACTGTTTCATACGTACATAACTTTCATTTTTACATGAAAAACATAAATATCCAATTCCAATCACTTTTTGCAGAGACTATACAATCCTTATCTACCATTTCGATTGAAAAAAATTGTTATATGTTAATTTTTACGCAATATTATTCACAGTATTCAGTGTAGTAACAATATATAGTATAGTGTGGCATCGAAGGAATAAAACTTGTTTTGTTTGATATACTGCAAAATTATACAATATGTGTATATAAAAAGAAAAATAGAAAACTCACTGGTAAAGCTAAAGCCCATTCCAACGCAGTGCTCAAAATGTCTGCCCAAGCTTTCCTATGAGCCTCGCTATCTTTATTGACGTTTCGCCTCTGAATTTGCACTTCCTGGTTAACGATTGACTGACTCTCAACTGTAGTTGACGTCTCTTCTTCGTTTCGTAAAAAGGGATTTGTCCTAAAGCCACGCTTGCTGCGTTCATAGTCGCGCAATAATTCGTCTATATTGTCAAGGATCTGGGAAGATTTAGAATTTTTTTTATCCTGCTCCTTAATACTCTTTTCTGGTTCGTGAGTCTTATTAGAAAGATCACTGGACATCGTCCAAGCGGGTTTCCTGCGCAGCTCCATCACCGATTTTGGACGGGAATCCACAGAATTATCCTGCAAAGATTCATCTTTGTCTTCAAGATCTGCCGCCATGACAAATGTCAAGGATTTCCGCCTGGATAGTGGACCCACGTCGCTGCTACGTCTTTCCGAATATGATTTTTGATATAA